TATGAACCAAGGGGGAACAAGCCAATATCCTGCCATTCGCGTTGGCACACTCAAAGCTCGTGAAAAGGGGGATGATCAATCTCTGCTTCGGTAACGCTTTAAAGAAGTCGTGCACTCACAAGATCAACGAAAGTTTTAAAAATCAGGTGTCAAGCCATAGCAGAGAATACTCTCAAGATGTTAAAGAATAAAAATAGGCAGGGAACGGAAGTACAGGGAAAGAAAAAAGACAAACCAGTGGTCATACCAGGGTGTAAGATAGACAGGTGGGGAAACAGCCCATAGAAGCCTACCGCAGCGCCGTGACCGGATTGTGTACTCGTCTGCTTGCGGGTACCCCCACCTGCAACAGATGGCGCTGTGGCGAGAGGAAAAAAATCGGAATCGGATTTGCGTGTAACTCTATGGGAGACCGCAAAATAAACCGAGAGCACGACAGTTTTTCATTAAAAATCCACAAAAAACCATCTCCGTCAGTTTAGCCGGTCGCCATCGGTCGCCCACCCGGAGTGAGAGTTCGTGGTGCTCCACATAGATGGCGCCTAAGAAAAAGAGAAAATCAAGGGGGACAGAATGCGGTCACTCATTTGGCTCTCGTTTCCCCACCTGTCTATCTTACACCCTGGGTCATACCATACCTACATAAAGTGTCTGTGGTGAACTGTGATCAGACATTTCAACGAGGTGCAAGAAAGAAGACGACGGGTTTCGGAAATAAAAGAAGCACGAGACAACAGGGAAAGAAAAGGAAGAAGTGGTGGCTGGAACAAGGAAGACGGCTGACTGGGTGCTGTCTTCCTGGGAGCCGTCGACGCAAACAGAAACGACTGGGCGTAACTGCGAGGGACAACCGGGCCGTATCGTGAAGACAATGTTCCGTTGTCCCGGACGACTCCCAGCGGCGGCTGCACCGACGATGGAAGACCTCACCACATCTTTGCCACAACGCCACGTCACCACATTGTTGCCACAACGTCATCACCGTCGTTGTCAGGTGAAGTGAAGTGTTTCACTCCGACCTCCGCTAACTTATTTGACTTGAGACTCGCATTTATTTCTCAGTGACTCATCAACTAGTTGTTTTATGACTGCCCTAAGGAAATTGTGTATCCCGTAACGTATTTCATGTTTTTCTTTAAATTTGTACCGCTATTGTTTTTCAACGGAACTACTAAAGCTCACAAAAAAACAGTACTTGCCTCGTCAATAATTTAATGTATTGAAAGAGAGCTTGACCTCAAATAACGAACCTCCTCACAGTGTCCCATAACCTGAAAAGAGTGGGCTTGCACGCAGGGGTGAACATTGTTTTTCCAGCACCTGTCAAGTTGGCTAGTTTATGTAAAAAAGTAAATTCTACTTAAACATCATAAGCAGACCCGGCTGCACAAAAAAGCACAAAACTTGCTTTGTTGAGTGTACAGAAGAGGTTGTGTATTCCGTGCCATTATCGTGCGGGCGTCGTTATGTGGGGCAGACTGGTCGCTGCCTAAATGAAAGATTGAGGGAACACTGTTACAACGTTGATGCCGTCATATCAGGACACCTCGGTGTGCATTGCCGGGATTGTGGTTGTACTCCGATTTTCACAGATTGCACAGTACTAAACAAAAACAGAAACAAAACCACAAGGGCAATACTCGAGGCTCGAGAAATTGCTAGATTGGGGCTGCAATGTGTCAGTGCACCCTCTTTATTGTTATCCGAAAAGGAATTGCAGTTTTTGACCAAGCATGACTAGTTTCGTGTGGGTGCCGATGAGTGATGCAGGAATTTTAGCCTTTTTATGTTGTTTTTTAAGATTTTTACGATGTGTATTTTATATCTTCCTAACTTGTTTGTGTTGTTGCCGGTAATATATACCGAGCTGCAGCGGAAATAAAGTTCAGTTGTAAGTAGCGCTTTGTCTGTGTCTCTTTCTGTGTCCGTTGTCCAGTCGCGCTTTTTAATCATTACTGATCTTTAGTCATCGGGTCTTCCTGCTGCTTCCGGGAAACTGGACCGGTGTCTAGAATGTCCAGGGCCTGCGCTCCATGCAAGCTGCTGTTTCCGTTTTCTTCAGTCTTGGGCTCATTGTGTGGAAGCGGTAAATGGCTCAATGCATCAGCATCTTGGGGCTTGTACTGGATATGTTGTAGTTGTACGCTCCAAGTGTGAGTGCACTGTATTCTGGCAGCTGCGGTGGCTGGAGTTGCCCTGTTTGCTCTGCCCCGCCAAGAACTCGTGGTCTGTTTCATGCATTCTACCCCGCATGTAGTCACGGAACTCGGTTACTCCGAAAATGAGTGCCAGCTGGCCTCCTTCTCCACTTGCGAGTAATGTTTCTCCGCGCTGGTGAGTGTCCTGGACCTGATTCCGGTCGGCTCGTTGACATTATTGATGTTGTGGGACAACACCGCTCCATACCTCCTCCGGGGGGTTTTCACACTCTAGGATGAGTTCCTAAGTGGGGTCATAGTGCACCAGGAGACTTGACTGCAGCAGCATTTGCTTCGCCCTGTTGAAGGCGAGATCTTCTTAGGGACTCCCTATCTCCACCTCACATTTTGTCGGGACAGATTGTAGTTTGGAGCCAGAAGCTGCGACATCTCAGTTCTGTGGTGCCTTCACGGTGGCCTCGAGCTTTTGTTCTAACGGGTCAAGGCCATCTCTGTCAATCTGGTGACCCAGGTTGCTCGTGACCAAATTTACACTTGTCTGCTCTTAAAGGGATTCTACAACAAAATTTCGGCGCTTATTTCTTGGTCTATTCATGTTCAATGGAGCATTATCACATCAGACAGACCAATCTCTTGTTGAAGAAGACATGTAAAGGAATTTTAAAACAAATTAAACGATTAGCAAAGAGCACCTGGCGGATGTCGCTAACGCCTTGTTTGTAACGCCCGTCTAGGAACCTTGACAGGTAGTGACGGTGACTGACAGGTAGTGACGGTAACTGTCTCGCCTCTGGCCGCAACGAAAGAAGAGCTGAAGGAGGAACTCCCCTCTCCCTGAGACTCTCTTTTGTGTGTTCCAGAAGTCACTATTGTCCCTCTACAAGATTATAGAAGATTAACCCGTCACTCAAAATTCATACAAAACCAGCTTTGGGGTTACTTGCAGTGGCCCGATCGCTGGTGTGCTTCGGCTGTTTTCAGCAAATGCTACGAGCCATCAAGGACTATCCAAGGCTGTGTGAATGTCACGTGTCCTTGGAGAGGGGGCACAGCGACGCGCAGGAAGTGTATCACGGGCTACGCCCACGAAGCGGGATTGGCTGGGATAGCTCCCAGCGTCCGGACTTAAGGTCCCGAGACAAACTACGTCACGATTGCGGCGGATGTGGCGTGCTCTCCGTTGGCTGCTCCCCGAGCGTTTGCCAGAGTGGGCAGTTTATAATGAAAAATACAGCCATAAGGCTCAACATACAAATGTGCGATTGTCATTTACGGATATTTTGGATCATATTCAGCTTATTTGTGAACACGACGGGTATATATTTCAAACTTCCTTGAAGTATCTCTTTGAAGGGACTAGGACATGAAAATTAAATGGATAGATTATTCTTGAAATGGAATGCTTATAGGCGACTCAGTACTCTTGCCATCAAACACTGCAATGATCTTCCTGAAACCACTGTCATGATATCAGATCCCAAAGCATTTCAGTACTCTCTGCAATCATTTTTTACCATGATAGCACTCAGCACACTCACTATTTTTTATCTTTTAATCTGCTGTCATTTTTGCCATGTCTTGTTGTGACTCAGTGGTTGAGCTGGATGAAGTTTGCTGATAGGCAGGTCTTCAACATATCTGGTTTTTGTGCTTAATCATGCTGACATCGCTTTTTTTCCTGGTCGTGTTTTGTACATAATGTTGATAATGTTTAGATTAACCACGATTTATTGCTTTGTTAATTTTATGTATGAGCCTTTTGAAGGTGCATTTTTAGTCCATTCAACGGCATTACATGAGGGGAGGGAGGGGTAATTACAAAAAATATCTTGAGATTTTTTGTAATTGAGGCATTGTGAATAAGTAAATAAATAAATACACCAAGTTTCGCGATTTTTGAGAGCTCTAGATGATTTTCATCTGGCAACCAGGCAACACTATCCAAGTTAGTCATGCCATGGTGCCCATATACCACGTGATAATGAAAACATCCCATTCTAGGCGACCCCGTGATCGTCCAAGGTCGCCTCGCCGTGGTACGATCAAAACCTCGCACGCAACTTGGCTACCCCAACATTATTCTTGCTCTGGCCCTTTGATCTCCCACCCTGCATGCGCCTGCGAGATTGTCCCAGATGACAGCGACCACGGCAAGTTCCTCCGTGGCTCGCCGTCGCTGGAGCTGCTCGTCAACAAGTCGCAGTCAAAATGACCAGCTTTAAATATCTCTCGAAAGCAATCACTCTCATCTCTACCGTGATCAATGTCGAAGACTGTGACAAAGCAAGCAATGCGGTAGACTTAATCATCACGGACCGCATGCTCGAAATACGGAAGGTAAACGAGGAAGCTGAAGCTCGAGGTGTCGAGAGAGCCAAGTCTGTGAGTGAATGCGAGGGGATGCTGCACGATTGGCTGGTAACGTCGTAGCCCGCCAGCCACGGCAGCTTTTTTGAATGGGGCGGATCCGAGGATCCCGCATATAAATTGATTTATCCACAAAACTATGGCACCATTTTCAAAACAAATTTACCTGCCAAAGTCCCGGGGACTCGGAAACCAGGATGTTGTCCAGGAAGACTTCCTTGGATGCCTTGAAGGATGCTTTCCATCTTCCACCGAAACAAATCGGGAGCCGAGGCAATGCCATACGGAAGACATTTGTAGCAGTAATGCATTCTTTTGTAAAGTTCCAAGTTATGCATTCTTTTGTAAAGACTGTCCTCTGGAGTGTCCTCGGGCACCTCGGCCCTCGCACCCATTCTGCGTTAAAATGTTTATCATTTCCAATATACACATTGATTTGCTCACCAATGACACGGACTGAAATGACGCTTGCAGAGGACGGGAGCAGCCGGGGCAGGATGAGCGCTGGTGCCCCGGAGGCCGGCCGAGAGCATCGCCACCCACATGGGGAGCCCGTGGCACCTCCTGGCACTGCTCCTGCTGCCGACCAGCCTGGCCCCTACGCTGCACCACCGCGCCTACGCCGTCGCGGTGCCCCCGATTACTGAGGGAGCCCTTGCACCGCCGGTCGGAGGGGTTACCGGACGAGCTTCGACCAACGACGCTCCCAACGCCACGGAGGAGTTGGAAGCGCTCAAGCACCACGGCGTCGACAGAACGGCGGCGTGGGACGCGCTCGAGTTGGGCGGGGCCGAAAGCACCGCGACTCCGGATCGGCCGGACCTTGGGCAGGGTTCCCTCAAAGATGCTAGGGGGCCGGCGGCGCTAGGCAACGTTTTTGCCGGGACACCTCGGGAAAGCGGGGAGGCGGTGGCCGTTGCAGAAGATGATGCGCGCAACGGGACGGGGGCCCGTCTGACTGCTAGACTCTCTTTAAACGGTCCGCGCCTTTCGACCCTTCGTGGCGAAGAGTCCCCTTCTGAATCGTTGGAAACCTTCCTGGTGGCGACGTCGCCCTCGCCGGAAGAGGATGCGTTCTCTCCCGTTACAATGTCTGGAGACTCTAGTCAAGACCAAGTGAGAAACACAGATGCTCCGACGCGTGCAGTTACCTCTTTAGACGACAGTGTGCTCGAAGAAGGCGTCTCGAGGACTACCGCATTTCCCGAGGAAGCTTGGGTGTCTGACATTTCTCCGACGCTCAACACGACGGAAGGAGTTGTGGCGCCAAATCTGCCCTCGTCTCGGGAAAGTGAGCGTGCTTCTGAGGCACCGCCACCAAACTTGAAAGAGGCGATGACGCTTCCGGAACGGAATGGCAGCCGAGACTCCTCACCGACAGACATTCCTGAGACGACGACAGATCTTCCCATCCTACTTGGCGAGAATGCATCCATTATTGAAGTGCAGCTTACTAACCCAGCTAAAACCCACATTTCACCCCAAAACTCCACGGAGCTAGTTGCGCAGACCACCGGGAACTACCTGGAGCTAGACCGCATGCTCTACCAGACAACGGACATTCCTGAAACGACGACGGATCTTCCCGTCCTACTTGGCGGGAATGCATCCATTATTGAAGTGCAGCTTACTAACCCAGCTAAAACCCACATTTCACTCCAAAACTCCACGGAGCTAGTTGCGCAGACCACCGAGACCCCTGAGAAGTACCTGGAGCAAGACCGCACGCTCTACCGGACAACGAACATTCCTGAAACGACGACGGATCTTCCCATCCTACTTGGCGAGAATGCATCCATTATTGAAGTGCAGCTTAATAACCCAGCTAAAACCCACATTTCACCCCAAAACTCCACGGAGGTAGTTGCGCAGACCACCGAGACCCCCGAGAAGTACCTGGAGCAAGACCGCACGCTCTACCGGACAACGGACATTCCTGAAACGACGACGGATCTTCCCATCCTACTTGGCGAGAATGCATCCATTATTGAAGTGCAGCTTACTAACCCAGCTAAAACCCACATTTCACCCCAAAACTCCACGGAGGTAGTTGCGCAGACCACCGAGACCCCCGAGAAGTACCTGGAGCAAGACCGCACGCTCTACCGGACAACGAACATTCCTGAAACGACGACGGATCTTCCCATCCCACTTGGCGAGAATGCATCCATTATTGAAGTGCAGCTTACTAACCCAGCTAAAACCCACATTTCACCCCAAAACTCCACGGAGGTGGTTGCGCAGACCACCGAGACCCCCGAGGAGTACCTGGAGCAAGACCGCACGCTCTACCGGACAACGGACATTCCTGAAACGACGACGGATCTTCCCATCCTACTTGGCGAGAATGCATCCATTATTGAAGTGCAGCTTACTAACCCAGCTAAAACCCACATTTCACCCCAAAACTCCACGGAGGTAGTTGCGCAGACCACCGAGACCCCCGAGAAGTACCTGGAGCAAGACCGCACGCTCTACCGGACAACGGACATTCCTGAAACGACGACGGATCTTCCCATCCTACTTGGCGAGAATGCATCCATTATTGAAGTGCAGCTTACTAACCCAGCTAAAACCCACATTTCACCCCAAAACTCCACGGAGCTAGTTGCGCAGACCACCGACACCCCCGAGAACTACCTGGAGCAAGACCGCACGCTCTACCGGGTAACGGAGGCTTCGAAGCAGACCTCCAGTGGAGTGCTTCAGGAGGAGCACCTTGAGCTTCCCACTGCTTCGTCCACACCTTTGGGAATTAAAAATCCGCATGGCCTTTTGGCACTACTTACGACCCAAGCATCCGCTACTACGGCATCGTCGATTGTCCACAACACCAAAGAACCCGTCGTATTGCTCGGTCTGCCTACAACGACGAGCACATTGGGCAGTGTTTTGACCAATCTCGCGCAAGATGTCCACCCACACTGGCCAAACATTTCCGACTCATTCCCGGGGAATGCCGGAGCGGCTGAAGTCCGCCCTCTCGAGACCGCCTCGCCGGAAGTGCTGGACGTGTGGACGGAAGATTCGGGGAACGGGTCCCGGCGACGGCCGGCGGACACTTCTACAGAAGAGCCATATGGGGTGTCGGAACCCCAAGCTCCCCCTGCCACCTCCAGTTCGGGAGAGGTGACCACGGCGAGGCGTGTGACAGACCAAGAGGAAGGGGCATTTGCCAATGCGTCGGTGCCCATTGCGACGTCGGTGGAGGTCGAAGCTTCCGCCCCTCCGAATGGTACCTTTGCGCTCGAGGAAGATGGCCTTTGGGTACACCTCGTTTCGACACAAACAGCCACGGGGCCTGCCGTAGACCGCACGGAGGAGCGGCAACTGCCAGTCACGACGACCCCGGCCGAAAGTTTTGTGGAAGATTCAGAAGTGCTGTCTCCTGCTAAGTCCACCACGAGCCTCGAAAGCGCAGCAGTCGGCGACGATGCTCTGACGACGATCCCGGCGAGAGATTTGGACGCCGTCGAAACCCCGTCGGCCACCCAGACCGACTTCACCGAGGACGCCGCGCCCACGAACCGCCCAGACACTGTGGGGCTTACGACGCAGCTGCCAGCTTCGACCCCGCCCTGCGTGCCCCTGGAGCCGCCCCGGGGTCTCACGCATGAGTTCCGGCTTGTCTTCCGCACGGCCTCAGAGTTCTCGTGGGAGCGGGTGGAGGCACTGGAGAGACGCATCCAGGACTTCCTGCGGGACGGGCCCTGCCCTCGGCGCTTTGCCCGCACCGCTTTTGCCCTGGGGCCCCCGCACGTGCTCAGCTGGACCGACCCCTCGGCCAATGCCACCTGGTGCGACCACGCCTCCGTCGAGGCCCTGCTGCGCACCATGCGGTCCGAGTCCGGACGCCCGACGCCGGCCATCACGCGTGCCTTTTACCCAGAGTTTCTCATCAGCTCCGTCGAGCTGCAGCTGCGCGGCGCCTGTGCGTCCGAGGCGGGCGCCTTCCCAATAGTTGCGGCCGTTGTTGGGGCCGCACTGTCGGCGGCACTGCTCGCGGGGCTGTTGGCCGTGCTCTGCAGGTACCTGCGGCCACGCTCCCGCAGGCTGGACGTGACCCCGGCGGGGGACTCCTTCGATCTGAAGCAGAGGCGGCCAGTGCTGCTGCCCGGCGAGGGCGGCCGGGCGTCTGCCGACGGGACGCCGCGCAAGGCGCCCCGGGCCCCCTTTGTGGTGGATACGGACTTCTGCTACATCAACCCCAACTTCCTGGAGGTGGCCCGGCCCTCCCCGCCGGCACCCCCCTACCGCCCGGAGCCGCCCCCGCACGGCCCCCGCTCCGCCCCGGGCGGCCCCGACGACCTCGCCTCCTCCAGCTCCGGGGTGGAGTCCGACCCCTCCGCCGGAGAGGCCGCCGACGCCAGCTGAGGGTCGCACGCGGCCTCCATCGTCCCTCGACCTTTATCGGTCTGGCCCTTCCGCATTGTTTCTCGTGGCATTGACTGTGGGCGAAACGTGACGCTGGCCGGAGGCATATGAAGGTGTTCTCATTAATGACTATGCAGCGAGGAATTGAGGAATTGACCATGCAGCGAGGAACGCTCTGGCTGGAAGTGGGTAGGCGCAAAGCTAGCACCCCTTGCCTCGTCAAATGCGCGCTCGGGACATCTGTGTTGGAAAAGCTTTGCGTCTAACCATTGTCCGACCAGGGCTCGGTGGTCTCCTCCTCTCCCTCGCATCGAGGCTCCTGCTCTTGTAATCTGATGGACACTCATCAATTGAACCGCCAAAGGGCGTCCACTAAACCGAGCCAGACAATACTCGCCAACGTCCAAGAGGTACACACGTGCGTCTGCTTACGACCGAGCAATATCTTACGACGGGAGAACACGCTGGTCTATGAGGTATTTGTGAGATCAAATGTTGTGTACGAAAAGTGATATAGCCTTATAGAAAAAAAATAATGACGGAGTGATGCGCAGAAAAAAAAATGTACGGGAGTTGCGAGTGCTCCGCCCATTAGATGGCGCCAGTGTGTTATGAGACGGCAGTCGCGAGCCACTGTGTGGTAAGCGAGTGTGTAGCTGGCTTCAAAAGTGCCTCTGTGCACGAAGGAGGTAGTGGGGCAATGAAGCTTGCAGTCGTGCGACGGTCCCAAGAGATCGATGGAAAGTGTTTTTATTTTGCGGGTGGTTGGGCACCTGTCCTGCCGAGGGAGTCTGGAGAAGAAAAATAGAACCTCTTGTGCTATTGCACCTGGAACATTTTCCCTTCTAAATAGCCAGGGACATATTCATTGCCCATGCACTGAGCCTTCTCAGACCCTTAGGGGTGTGTCATCAAAATGAATACCTCGATACCTCATAAGGGGCCAAAAAAGTTGCAAATCTCTACAGCAGTGTTTCATCGAATCGGCCGTGAAAGAGGACCGCACGGTGCTCCGACGTGTCCCAGTACAGGGAATAGTAGTAAGGGTTAGTGTTGTTCTACGGCTCTTGCGCTGTGTTGCATTTTGCTGTAATCTTCTTGGAAGAGTGCCGTTGTCCATCTTAACACCTTACGAGGTAGTGCCAAGCTTGAAATACAACCTGATGGAACTTTTTTTCTCTGCCTGGCAGAGAAGCCTCGTCAAAATGCCGGCATAAAAGTGTCCGAGGGAAAGGACTCTCCGAGCAAGCTGTCCCAACAGGCTGTCTGCACCAACATCACGGGCTCGGACATCCCACTGGCAAACACAGTAAACGACTTCATTTTTGCGTTCCGCGAATATATTATCCCATGGTAACATAGAATACCTCGCTCATGAGCTCCATTTTATCCGTCGTTGGCACCTCTCTGTCATCTGTACACTGTCGTCGCATCGTCATTACATGCGGAGCTGCAGGTGCAACTGAACAGTGCCCATTGTTGGGCGAGTTGGTGCTGAATTTGAGAAGACATGGTAGTGCTCAAAGACAAAGACAAAAGGAGGAGAACTGGACAACACTGCGTTAACTTTCAACCGTTTATTTGCGAGATGCAACTAAATCCATTGTGCCGTCCACTCAGCCAATCCGGTGCCACCGCTTGCAGGAGCCTTTACCTGTTCGGTTGAGGCTACGCTGACACATGTGCCGGGATTATCAATAATCTCCCTCTTGTCCTTGGCTAGAACGGTACACGTGGCAGATGAGGAAGTGCAGCGAAAAGATGGCCGTCCCAGTGTGCTCACGTGATCTGTCATTTAGACATCTGCCCGGTTGTCCAACATATTTCTTCCCAAACGACAATGAAGTTTGATAGACGACTCACTCCGCACGACCAACCCAATGGGCTCTTGTGCTTCTTGGAGCAACCCAACGGGCTATGCGGAAAGGGTCTGTCAATTTGCACAATTGACGGACCCTTTCCTTCTCGACGTCGCCCTCTAAAGTGTGTTCGTCGTACCACACTAGTGCCAATAAGCTCTGTAAGTTTCCATTCAAAGCTAATTAAAAGAGGATTGATTAATTCATGCTTTACGAATGCCCTTAAAAGAAGATGCCGCCGTGCTATAAGTCTGACAGCAGACTGAGCGTTAGTTGGCTGCTGGGTTTGTGAAAGCAGTGCTTGTGTTTGTTGCGATTGGAAGTCGGCCCCAATCCAGTTGCAGCCCATGGGAAACAAGATGGTGGTCGTGCCATTCACGCACAAAATTATGTGCAGTCTTAAAAAAGTTGTTTTCACGAGACAAGTTGGTCGAGTTGCGTAAATTGACGGACCCTTTCCTCGAAGAATTGCAGGGGCTTGCTTGTTGCTTGTGCAGAGGATGTCATCTACCAGATTCTGTTGTTGTGTGGCATCAATCAATCAATTTAAATTTTATTCAAAATGAACGCGGAACATACTGCAGAAACACATCTGAATCAATAGCGTTCTTGGCTAATGTGGAATCCATTCCAAATGTACAAAAATAAATTCTGTGGCGCTTATCTGGCACTCGTGCATGTGCCATAGAAAAACAACTCTTATTCATGTTGTTTTATATAAAGCTCTTTAAGTAGTTTCAAAAGTTTTGCTTTCTTTTGTTGGGATGCTTAAGAAATTTCATATTTTTGTTTCAGTACACTCTATCATTCTTTGACCGTATACATTATGAGAAAATGGAATATAAAAATTCTTTGCGTAAACATTTCTAGTTGCCCTACTCGCAAGTGAAATGGCAATATCCGTGGGTTTTAAAATAATGAAGCAGAGTGGGCATTAAATTTTGCATTGGCTCATATTCTGATCGCTCGCTTTTGTAGCGATGTAATTGGTTGTATGTAGCTTTGACAACTAAAACCCCAAGAAGCCACCCAATATTGGAGGCGGGTGTGAATGATGCTAAAATATATCGATCTAAGCATTCCACTATCAAAGTATTGACGTGTTCTAGCTAAAGTGTATATAGAGCATCCTAATATTTCACAAGTTTTTTTATGTGTGGCATCCAATTGAAAGAAGAGTCAAGTGTCACCCCGAGATATTTAATATTTTCAACCCTTTGAATATGGGTAGTTCCTATTTTAATATTACCCAACCCAGCTCAAATGTACTATCGGGGAAAAATGAAATGCGAACAGAGGAGCGCGTGGCTCGCGGTACAGGCTGCGCCGCCTGGAAGTGAGCCTAGGAGCGAGGGTGCGTGGCCTACTCCGACGTGTTCACCCCCCTCCCTCTGCGCTCCCCAAGCTTCAGCAGTGCGCCGCTATCTTTGCTGGCTCAGCGCGTGCAGTGCAAAGAAGCTCGCCGCACTCGCCGAGCAGGCAAAGATAGCGGTGACAGCTTTCAGCGCACTGAGAGGCGCACTGCCGAAGCTGGGGGAGTGCCAATCAAGAGGCGTGAACACATTGAAGTAGGCCACGCACCCTCGCTCCTAGGCTCACTTCCAGGCGGCGCAGCCTGTACCGCGAGCCACGCGCTCCTCTGTTCGCATTTCATTTTTCCCCGATAGTACCTTTAGAGAATGACGGAAATATAACTAATTTGTCTTTCGTAAGTTAAGGGGGCGGTGCAGCAGTTTTTGTACTTTCAATAAATACAGTTTAGAATTATTCCTCTACATTTATGACCTATGAAACACACTGTTATTTTTTTCACGCAATGGTAGTCGAACAAAAAACTGCACATCGTTTACCCCCTCTAATCGCAGCCAGAAAAAGCGGCCACGTGATCTGGAGCCAATTATATGCCATGTTTTCAACAGAGCCGCGCGCTTGGGTTTGCAGAGTACATGATGCGCTGTGAGTTTCACGCATTGTTAAGCTTCAGCTCTTTCCGTCTTCCCAGTGATTGGGTAGAGCCACTACCCCAAAAGCATTGAATGTCACGAGCCAAAATTTAATGCCTACGCAGTGCACGAGTCCAATGTATGAGCCGCATTCAAATATCTCTGCGGCGGGAATTGCAAAGCCTGATGATGCACCCCATGGGATTGCATTGTTGGCATTGTCCTCGCAGCTTCGTCATCACGTTTTCCAAAGGAGAGACTGAAAGAAAAAGTCCGTTTTTATCCTCCCACCGTCACGAAGACGCTTCCTTGTCAATGGCATTGCGTTCGGTTATTATTGGGTTCCACTAGTGTAAGTAAGCTGGTGTAAAGTGAGAGACATTCCTACTCAATATCATTGCACGACCCCTTTAACTTTTTATCTAGAAATCATCTCTCCAACTGCTTAAAGGGGCCCTGCAATCATATTTAAGCGTCTACCTTTTTTGCGGTTTCCACGTCTCTTGGGGTTGGGGCAAGCCAGCGGGCACGGAGAGAGTAACTAAATATCAGTGCGTCATATTTTAACCGGACGACGCGGAAACCTCCTTCACTGACGAGGGCGACCCGCGGTACCGAAAGCGCGCAAAATGTGACGTCTTTGGTCCTGGGCTTGCCACTGGTCAAAGCCGCTAAGAGCTTTTTTTTAGTCGAGATACAAAATATAAGTGTCGCGAACCGTTTTAATTATGTATGAAAGTAGTTTTTGTTCACTATTTTAGATCAGAAAAGAAACAAATGCAGTTTAGAAAGTACGGAGACAAGAAATGACCCGTCGACATACCCGCCACCAAGCGGTGAAAAAAAACTGCACATACTAGAAAGGGCTAGTGGGATGAGACAAACGACAAACAAGGAGCGTAGAAAGGTCCCGGATGTACGTGGCGGCGCTGTGGTCGTATACCGGCTCAAGAATCCGACCGGTTCGAGCGTTCCGAAGGCCTTCGGCGCAGGCCCTGTTGGCGATTTGGCCATTTGGCGGTGCGTCAGCGCGAAGTGGCTCCCGATCTGAACTGATCTTTACCCCATGTTTGCTGTCGTTTGTGGCCAATGAGTTGTTATGCCGAATTAGTGTTTAGTCGTGCTGCAAATGTAATACGAGCTGCCCTGGCCGCCTACTTCATACAGCCTATCCAACAGATGCTTTAGTGGCGCCCTGTCGAGCCATCGACATGGAGTGCGGCAGCCGTGTGCGCTCAATGAGCTCACTACTCCTCCTCTAGTTCAAGGCCACTCAAGGCAGGACCTACGACGTCATGAAGGAGGTTATTTTTTGCTTGTTTTTGTAATTCTAATTTGCTTATAACTTTTATAATAAAGCGAAATTTGAGAAAAGAAAAGTTGGATTAAGTTACTACGTTCAGTACGCTCAGGTTCAGTGCAAATTAAAAACCAGTCAAAAAGTCATTGCAGGGCCCCTTTAAAGGGGCGGTGCAATGATTTTCGGACTTCGGTCAAAGTTTTCTGGAAGTTGCCCCCTGACACTTCTGAAGTAAAGAACAGAAAACCGATTTCGCCTGCGTGTCCTAGTTTTTGCGTAAAAAAAAGATAAAGATTGGTATTTCGGGCACCCCTCAACTCACTCTCAGTCTTCAGGGTCATACCTGGTCGCACTCCCAGTGACGTCATTCGGAGTGCCGTGTAGCTTCCCGTGTGCTATCTCGGAGGACGCTTCCCCTCCCTCTCTCTGCGTACCTTAGCGGGCGCTAGGCTGCAGCTTAGAGCCGAGCGAGGTCACGTAATCTTTCCGCCGTAGTTCCTTCGACTGCCACTTGGGGCTGCAGGTGGGGGAGAAAGCTCGACTTTTGCTTTGCGATTATGCAGCGGAATCGCGACATTTTTAATGAAGGAAGTGTTTTCTCTATCCTCTGGGACACGATAAACAACGTAAAAGTGACGAGATGCAAATGATTTTAATCATAAAATCGTTGCACCGCCCCTTTAAGTTCCTGTGTCATTTCTGTTTGAATTAATTGTAATGAATTTCCAGACTAACGCCGCAATATCATCTGCATACATTATTGTTTGCAGTCGTAATGTTAGCTAGGTCGTTTATGTAAATAGAAAAAAAGGGTCGGTCCTAGCACTGAAGCCTGCGGGTCTCCACTCAACGCTAACCCATTTCTAGATAATAGTGCTCTTATGCGTATGACCTGAGAGCGAGACGATGAGTAACTCTTGAAAAAGTCAAAAGAAAAGCCGAGAAAATCATATCTTTGTAATTTGCTTAACAGTATGGCGTCATCTACTGTATCAAAAGCATTTTTTATGTCTAGGAATAAACTGTTAGCAGTTTTATTGTTGTTTAAAGCAGAAGTCGGACACCCACGGCCCGTGGGTCATATGCGACCCACGATGCAGTTTCATGTGGCCCCTGGCACGACACCAGAAGAGGCCCCCCCCCCCCCCCCCTTCCTCCCACTTCCCCTGGCGCTTCCTCACACAGAATTTGACATTGAGTGGTGTTGGACAGGAACAAGAAGCACTTCCAATTGACATTGTAGGGCATCCCTATATTTTGCCGTTTCTTCACCTGCCTGCCCCCCCCTCGTTCGTTACGGCTTCGTGAAGACTCGGCTCGCCACTGCTAAAGGTTGCTGACCCCTGGTTTAAAGCTAATGTATTGACTTATAGTTAGAACTGCTGTATCTGTTGATTTGCCTTTTCGAAAACCATGCTGATTCTCAGATAAAACAGTATTTTTAGTAAAAGAAATAAACTACCCATGTGGCTATAAGCTTGTCGAAAGCGTGTTTATTCAACTTAATTTCGATATTAGTCTATAGTTTGAAAACTGGTTCACGTCACCATTTCTATGTATTGGTAGAACTCTCACTATCTTAAGCAGTTCAGGGTTTGTACCACTGTAAAATGCTTGATTGTATATTTTTTCCAGTGGCAAGCTAAAGATATCCATGTTGTCCTTGATTATATAGGGTGGTTCAAGTCACCAGGCTCGACCTAAAATGGACCGTAAAAATGACGCCTGCACGTAGCCATCTAAACTTTTCGTCAAAAGTGTATTTCACAGGTCGGTTTTTTCTTGTAAAATTACAAAGCGTAGTTCTCTTTCTGTAAAAAATAAGGCCAAGAAACTTGCCAGGGTCTACGGCATGCGGCGACCCAGACGATGAAGTCCAGTTGCGGGGTGTGTCTGGCGTTCGTATTGATAGATGGCGTCGGGAGCAGCATCCGAAGGTGCAGCTGTCCAGCAAAAGAAAGCAGACGACACGCAGACGAAATCCGTTGGCAGCAAAAGCGCCGCCGTTATGCAGACGTTTTTTTTTACTTTAAGTTTTTCCTTTATTGCTGGCATTTATTTTTTAACTGAAGGTTTATTTCAAAAAGGTTATATTCATTTAAACAAACCACGGTGGTCGCGAGCCGTCACGATAAGGAAGTAGCGCCATCCATCACTACGAACGCCAAACACACCCCGCTACTGGACCCCTGTCGTCTGTGTTGCTGCCCGCCGTAGACCCTGGCAAGTTTTTGGCCCTATGTTTTACAGGAAGGGAGCTAGGCTTTGTAAGTTTACAAGAAAAAACCGACCTGTGAATTACAACCTTTGACGAAAAGTTTAGATTGCTACGTGCAGGCGTCAATGCTTACGGTCCATCTTAGATCGAGCCTGGTAACTTGGACCACCCTATATTTACTGAAAAACCATTTTATCCTGGAGTTTAATACCATGGTATTGTCTGTGTCATTGACGTAATTTAGTTGCTTGTAATACTTTGATAGCTAAATTAATTACTAAGAAAACATGGAAGCTGTTTGATTGGTTTTTCAAGATTTTCATCTACAGGGTGCGGCCGTAAAAACTTTCACATTTGGCACGCCTAGCAAAAATCGAATTTCAAACATACATACCTGAAATTGGGCACACGAACGTCGATTATTCCAAAGTTTTTTGCCTATTTTTTTCAGACATCAACTCTGGAGTAGCGAATTATTAGAAAGATAACAAAAATGGCAGACGTGCATTTCCTATGGCCTATACCCGCCCGTTCGCCGTCTGCTATCTGGTTCGCGACGCCGCTTCCAGGTGGCGCACTGAACGCAAAAACTTGGGAAACCCGCTCGAAAGTCTGGTGTCGGGCGAGATAATCGCGATAAAAAGTGATTTGAACCAAATATATGAAGAATTGTTGAAATTACCTGTTTCAAGTCAAGTTCTGACAGATCGTCATGCAAGCAAGAAGACACCATGATGCGACGAGATCATAAATTTATTTACAGCTGCTCGTCTTGTTGACAATTGCGGGTCGCTCTCGAAGA